GAAGGTCCCAGACGTGGGGCTGACCTGTACATCTCCAGCCTGCTTCACCGGATCGCAGACAGAGACAAGAAGGGTTACCCCAGCCCCACAGAGAAGCCCAGGCCCAACTCCAAGTCGGCAGTACCCAGCTCCCCGGCCCCACCCCGCCACACGTCCCCTAGCTGGGCATTTGGATCTTGGACCTTGGACGGGGGTAGGTGGGTTTGTTCTTTAGGCCCCTGAAGAGGGTAGTTCTGAGAAGGACAGGGAGGATGCAAAAGAGGGACAGGGGAAACGGGCAGAGGGGGACAGAAATGGGAGATGGAGGACATGGGGGGAGGAGGAGGACGGGGAGGAGGGAGATGGGAGGAAGAGGCAGAGGAGTAGGAGGAAATAGAGAAGAGAGAAGAGGGAGATGGGGTGAGAGGGGCTGCTCTGAGGGCTGCAGGGGATGTGACCAGACAGGACAGGCTGGCTGGGTGAGGAGGGGTCAGGAAGCAAGCCCTGAGGGTGCTCCCCCGCTCCCTGCGAAGTGCTCCTCCCAGACCCAAGCACCCACCTTGGCCATTTTGCTCTTGTTGTCAGCGGTCAGAAAGGACATGTTGTTGATTTCGTTCTGGACCACGAAGTTCTGTTCCTCACGCTTGAAATTCTGGTGGGGGAGGCAGGGTTGGGGACAGATGGGTGAGAGGGGCACCTGTGGGCAGCGGCTTCTCTGCCACGGAGAGGAGGGGCGGCGTGGGGGACACTCACGTGGGACTTGGACCAGTAGATGAAGATCTCGCCCACCATCCTGAACAGCTCCTCCGCGCTGGGGTTGGGCTCCGTCAGCCACTGTGCCCTGGTCAGGGGACAGGCTGGTGAGGGATGGGGTGGGGATCCCAGGGCAGGGGTCACACAGGGACATTGCAGAGAGACAGGATGGGGGACCAGGGGACATCCAATCGGAGGGATGGAGTTTTCTAAGTAATCTGGCCATTCAGATGAACATTTAAATTTTTTAAAGACTATTCCTTTAAAAACATTTTCTTCTTCCTCTAACCTTTTAATTGAAATACACATGAAATGTACTGTATATAAGGCATACGTATGTGTTACATAACATACATGTTAAAAAAGTCAACTTGGTGAATTGTCACAAAGTGAACACACTTGTGTAACCACCACCCAAGTCAAAAATCAGAACATTTTGGTTCCCAGAAGTACCTTCCCAGCCGCGCTCCCTCCTCTGCAAAGAGGACCCTTATCCTGACTTCTAGAACTAGACCATAAGTTATTTTTATCTGCTCTTGATTACTACAGAACAGATGACGTGATATGTACTCTGACTTCTTTTATTCAACCCAACGTTTGTGAGACTCACTCACGTTGTTTTGTTTGCTCGCTTTCATTGCCACGTGGTATTCTGTTGTACGAATATTCCACGATTTATTAGTCTGTAACCTTCGACCCGGCACTCCCACTCCGAGGCGCCTACTCAGTGCCCATTCGTGAGCACACAGGTGACCGTGCAAAGGCGGGTGCTGTGGCACGGTTAGTAACAGAGAAATCAGAGACCACCTCCGTGCCCAGCCACAGGGCCTGGTTTAAACAACCAAGCTACGTCCAGCTGCAGAGAACCTCACACAGCCACCAAGAAGAAAGAAGCTGATCTATGTGTCTTTCATGGTATACGGTTGCATTAATTTTTAAAAAAGCAATCTGTTCCTTACAGTGTTATGTGCAGTGACAAAGAAATGGACACAATCTAAATGTCCTGCATTAGGGGAGTGATAAAGAAACAGCACACTGTCACTGCGTGGCACAGCCAATGGTTATTTAAGCCTGATTTTGCTAGCAGAACCCACAGCTAAGTTAAGCAGCAACTGATAACAGTTCAAGTTTAACTCACGCCTGGAGTGGCTGTTTCGCAGCGTGCGTATCACCGCTGCCCGTCTCTGCGCCCAGGACAGACATAGCTAATGCACCCCCGATGCAACACGAAAGTCTTTCTCAACCAGGATGGAATGTGGAGTCGAAACGTACTCCGCTATCCCTGGATTGGGCTGCACCAAGGGGTACTAATTCTTTAAACAGTGCCTCTTCTGATTTTAGGGAAACGTTAGCAATTGGTTGACACCTGGCCTGGTCCTTTTATTAAAGATCTTCACTTCTGGGGGAAATCAGGCTGACCAGATCCTTTCTTCTCTCAGTGACGGCGGAGGGCCTGACCACCAGACTTCCCGGCACACGTCGGACCCCCATCTACCCAGCCAGAAGACACGGCGCTGGGGAGAGAACGTAGGGTTCCAGAAGTTGACGCCGCGACCCTCACAGGGGCTTGGAGGAGAGCACAGGTGGGCTGGGTTTGGGCCAAGGTGGGGAAAGCCATGTAACCGGCCTTGCAAAATGATGTTTTTCTAAGTTACTTTTTGTTCCCTCAGACTTTACCAGTCAAGCCCGACAACTGACTTAACTAGCCTCTCCCAGGACTCACCACCCACCGCCAGCAGCTGATGCTCGAACCCGACCACCTGCAGATCCTGTGACTTCGACCCCCACGCAACCCGGCCCGCCTTCCACAAGCCACCATAAATCCCTGGCTCTTGGTCAGGGAGATGGATCGGAGACGATTTCTCCCACCAGACGTCTTTTGCATTAGAATCTCTTTCTCCCTTGGCAGTCTTCGTTGTCTTAATACTTGGCTCTTTGTGCAACAAGTGAGGGATCTAGGCTGGATCCCTTTTTAGGTTCAGTAACAGGCAGAAGGGACGCGGAGGGAGGGACCGGCGGCTGGGTGGGGCGGGTGGGAACTGGGAGGGGTGTACAGCAAGGCAGGAGGAGAGGTCGGGACGGAGTGGGGGACGGCGGGGCACGTGCTCACCTGTTGTTGTCCACGTAGCGGATGAGCAGCGGGTACAGGGCGTACAGGTCCCGGCACAGCACGGAGAACTCCTCCCGCACCAGCATCTCCTCGGCTTCGACCTTGGCCTCCAGGCGCAGCTGCTCCTCCTCGGCCACCACCTTCCCCGCGCGCTTGCGCAGCCGCCCGATGGTGGGGATGAAGTGTGAGTGCAGCAGCTCGGGCCGCGCCCGGCTCACTATGGGCTGGGCGAACACTGCAGGGCATGGCGGTCAGTGTGAGCACTCACGGCTGGCCGTCCCCAACTCCAGCACCTGGCCTCTGACCTCGGGTCCCACCTCTGACACAGCCCCTGACCTCTGTTCCCAGCCCGTGACTCCCGACCCGCACCTCTGACCCAGCAGATATCATTTGACCCCAGCCTCTCCCTGACCTTGGACGTAGCCCCTGAACACTGGTCCCAACTATAACCCCTGACCTGACTCTAACACTCTGTCCCCATCCTGTCACCCCAGCATGGCACAAGTCCTTGACCTCTGACCCTCAAGAACTGAATCTTCACCTGATATCTTCCCCCTACCCTGCATGACCACTGACCCCAATCTTCATCCTCTGACCTGGCCTATACCCGGGCTCTTACCTCACTATGATTTCTCACTATGACCCCTGGCTTCTTATTGCAGCCTCTGACCTCTGACCCTGGCCTCTGATTCCAGCCCCGATCTCTAACCTGACCTTAACCCAAAACCTGACACAGAACTTCTGAACCAGGAATCGCAACACTTTAGGGACCCGTTTCTTGACTTCTGACCTAGAACGCTAACTGTCCGTATCAGGAACCCTGACGCCTGACTGTCCTCTGATTCTTCATATGAGGAACTCAGGCTTCTGACTCAGCTCCTGATCCCTGACCCAACTCTCTCCAAGGCTCCAGAAGTTCAGAATTCAGCCTGGAGGACGCCCAGGACACACCCATCCAGCCCAGACCCTATGAACCTCAGATTCTGAGCCTGGCCTTTTGACCCTGAGAACACCCAAACCCTGACTCCCCCCAACTCCCAGGAGACCATGGACCCCCAGCTCTCCCTCTCAGACCATCTGGCCAAGGGACCCCAGGCCCCAGACCCACCAGCGAGCCGCTTCATCCACGTGGCCTCGTCAATGCCCAGGTTGTTGACGATGATTCTCAGGATGTTCCCCAGCAGGGAGTTGAGGTCGTCGGAGGTGACAGCCGTGCAGGGTGGGGGGGCGCCAGTGGTGGGAGGGGGTGCCTCGGGCCCGCGCTCCCACCAGCGGGGCAGGTAGCTGCACAGCATGGGCAGCGTGATCTCGATGACATGTGGCATCTCTGTGTAGCGGGCCCCCGACTCGGCCAGCCCCCCAATGTCTGCCATGAGCCGCTCCAGCACCGGGATGTCAGGACACATCTCTTCCACACTGTTGGGGAGCCCCAGGACTGGGGTGCAGGGAGGGGTGAGGACGTGCCAACCCATCACCCCCAGACTGCAGAGCCCTGACCTCCCCGACAACACATCAGACACCACTGAATTGCCACCCACCTAAACTAGTTCTCCCAGACCCTACTCCTGCGATCTCACCCTCTAACCCAACTACCTCTCCCAACCCTCACGCTGAAACTCAGTGGCCCCCAAATACTCCACATCCCCAGGCCTGTCTGCTCCCTGAAATCTCACCCAATTTCCAATCTCACCCCTAGAAACCTTCGCTCCCGAAATCTCACGCATCGCACCCCTGCTATGCAGCATATTCCAAGAGAAACCCTTCCCAACCCCCTCTGCCCCCAGTCTTCTCTCCTGAATCCCACACCGGACTCAGCCCCTTGAAACGTACACCCCATCACTCGCTCACTCTGGGCCAGGTGCTGTCCTGAGTGTGGGGAGCACAGCTGACCAAAAACACAAGTTTCCTGCCCTGGAGCTTATGCTCCCCTGAGGTCCACAAAGTATTCTAGCCTCTGCGCTGAGAGCTCACGGGATTTTTGTCTGTTCGCTGCTGAACATCACGTGCCTAGACAGCGCCTCACACGGTAGGTGCTCAGTGATCATTCGCGGAATGAATGGATAAAGGGATGAATGGATCCATGCTTTCCCTCAATCCTCCCTCACCCCAAATGCGAGGATGCTAGAAAGTCCCTCTGTCCCCAAGCTTGATGTCCTGAAATGTCACCATCACTGAAATAATCCCCAAAGTTCCAAATTCCAGCCCTGACCTCCTAATGCTCCTCACATAACAATCTTTAAATGTCCCCATACCGCACACCAGGGCCCCGGCAAACGCTGGGACTCCCGAATGTGCGGCAGCCCCAGCTGGGGGATCCTCGGCCCCTCACAGCCAAGACCTGGCCACGCTACCCCAAACAGGCGGGCTGCCCCTGGGCCCCCGGGCCGGGTAGAACGCGCCCCGCCACCTCCCCCACCCCCGCAGCTTACTGGCCCGCTCGCGGGGAGACTTGGTGGTGTAGACGGAGCAGGCGTTGTACTCGTTCAGCTGCGGCTCCAGGAACGCCACGGGCATGGCCGCTGCCAGGCGGGCCAGGCACTCCCCGAGGGCCGGCCGCAGCCTGCAAGAGGGGCCTGCGCTTAGCCTCCACGCTGCCGCTCGTCGGGGTCCTGGGTCCCCACAGCGGTGCCTCCTCCCAAGACCCTTCGGAGCAGAGCTGCCGTCCACAGGTGCGCGCTGACATCTGAGACTTCTGCGCTGGTGCACGCGGCCTCCCCCCGCAGCCCCCCGGGGCAGGCTCTGTCAGTAACCCCGGCTCCGGAGAGATCACATGGGCGCTGCCCCCCAGCGTTCCGTGGCTGCTGTGTACTGCCAGCGTTTCTGCGAGTCCCTATCGGGGTAAGTTGGTTCCCTAGCCAGAGGCAACCTGGCGTCCCGGCCAGCAGGTGTCTCGCTCCCAGCCGGCCCGGCCTCCGCGGCTGGCCTTCCGCGAGCGCCCTCACGTGGCCACCGTGAGGAACTGCAGCTGCCGCGGCGTACCGGCCCGTTATTGAAGATCTCGAACACCTGCCCTGCTCTTCCCCACCTCCGTCCTCTTCCCCTGCTCCTCCCTTCTCTCCCAGCCCCACGGTCCCCACCCAGTCCCAAACTATGGCCCTTTCTCCTTACTTTTCCACATAAGCGTTCCTGGTGGTTCCCAGAGAGTAGATACTGCACAGCGTTCGGTAGCAAGAGACCTGGACATCGTCCACTGAGGGAGACAGGGAGGGCGGGGGTCTGGGCTGCGCCCCCAGACCAGTGCTCTCCCACCACCCCCCTTGTCTCCAAATAGGCCCGTGCAGCGGGTAAGGGCAGGGGCTGTAGGGCCAGCCTGCTATGTACTAGATTTGTGACTTGAGTAAGTACCAACTCGCTCTTAGCCTCAGTTTCCCTCTCTGTAAAATGGGGATAATTATAGTATCTTCCTCACGGGGGTGGCTGTGAGGATCAAATGAGTTAATATCTGGAAAGCAGTTAGAACAGGGCACACAGCAGGCGCTCAGTAAAGGCTGGTTTTTTTTCTTGCACAGGAGTTGTGGATCTCTCACTGATGAAAGCCATGGGCGCTCGCTCTAGAAAAATGCAAGCAAACCTGCCATCCCGACTATTGATACAATCTCAGGTTATCCACATCGCTCCCAGACGGTCAAGCTAAGAGACTCATCAACTTTTACAAATGTCATGCAAAAAGAGGCCCTGGGCTGTTCTAGATAAAAGACACTACAGAGACCAAATGCCATGGGAGAAACTTGACTGGATTCTGAAGTTTTTAAAAAATCAAAGACATTTTGTGGGCAACGAGGGAAATTTCAGTATGGGCAGGTTAGGTGTGGTAATGATTTTGTGGTTCCATGAAAGAAGGTTCTTATTCTAGGGGACACAGGTGCACCACTGAGGGATAGGTACCCCCGTGCCTGCAACTTACACTCAAAAGCTCAACAAAAAAGCATGTAAACACTTTCACCTGTAAAGTAAAGGTGAAGCAAATGGGGCAAAACTGTTAACAGTGCTCATCTTTTGACTTTTCTGTATGTTTTTAAATTTTCAAAATAAAAGGTTGGACAGGGAAGAACCTTATTCAAGTGCTACTTTCTTACTTTTATCAAAAGACTCTAATTTCAAATAAACAGCGAGCTCAGACCCAGTTCCAAGTTCCACTATCGCTCGTCCCCGCAGCCCATCAGCCCGACAGCCCAGCCTGGACACCTGCCCCTGGGTGTCCCCAACTCACCTCGGCATCTCCCCCCAACTTGCTACTTCCGCTGTCTGTCTCATGGAGACCCCACTGTCCCCAGGTCCCCAGGCCCCACTCTGGACCCCTCCCTTCCACAGCCCATCTTCTGGGCCTCCTGCCCCTCCCTGGGCTCCACCTGGGTCCAGGCCACATTTTAGAAGGCTCCTAGGGGACCTGTCCAAACAACAGCAAGGCAGCCCATCGGGTGTTTCGTGTTTCCTGTGTCTCATCAACAAGGCCCCATATGGTACACGCTCCTGCACTATGTGACAAGATCCCGGCTGCACCACACTGCACGTGTCCTGTGGTAGGAGGAACATGGCAGACGCTACTAGTTGCCTCCAAGATCTGCTCTTACCTTCTCCCTGTTCTTTCCTTCTTTCTAGTAATAAACTTCCAGTTATTATTATTATTATTATTATTTTTTGAGATACAGTCTTGCTCTGTCGCCTGGGCTAGAGTGCCATGGCGTCACCTAGCTCACAGCAACCTCAAAATCCTGGGCTCCAGTGATCCTCCTGCCTCAGCCTCCCGAGTAGCTGGGACTATAGGTGTGCACCACCATGCCTGGCTAATTTTTGCTATTTTAGCAGCACTCTTGCTCAGGCTGGTCTCGAACTCCTGACCTCAAGCAATCCTCCTGCCTTGGGCTCCCAGAGTGCTAGGATTACAGGCATGAGCCACCACATCCAACCTCTAATATTTAGTTCAAGACATGATTCCCAGAACAAAGGCTACTTTCCCAGCCTCCCTGCAGTGACATGTGGCCATGTGCTCCACTGGGCCAATAGCCTATAAGCAGAAGTGATATGGGCCACTTCTAGGTTGTTCTGTAAAAGAACTGAAGTGCCCTCTTCTTTGATTTTTCTCCTCTCCTATGGGCTAGAAGGAGGACGTAATGACCCACCTTGACCATGTGGATAAAGGCAGTATTTCAGGGCAGGCTGGGCTTTTGGCATTAGGGTCCACTTAAAAGTAGACTGTTACATGAGAAAGAAAGAAACTTCTGTCTGGTTGAAGCTACAGTGAGTCAGGGTCTTTTGATAGAGCTGCTGAACTCGTATCCTAATTAACTCATTCTGTTACCTACCAACTTGCTGACCTCATGCTTTGCTTACAGCTCGAAATCCACACACTCAAACACCTGGGGGACTCTCTCAGGCACCCGGGGATGGGTGGTATTGGCCAAAGTGACCCCCTCCCGCCTCCTGCCCTCGAGGTCAGGGGCCCTTACGGATGACGTCGTCTCCGAACTGGTGCTGGGCGATGTGCTGGAAGAGGGTGGTGAGGACGGGCAGCAGCGCCACTGTGGTGTAGGTGAGGTTCTGGCCCACGCCCTTCACCTGGGTGCGCGCCTGCGACACCTTGCCCAGTCGCAGGTTCTCCACCATTTTCTCGATGTCCTCCGAGGCACTCTCGAAGAAGGAGCGGAGGCCAGCCTTCACGATCTCGGGGCCTGACTTCATCACTGTCCTAAGAGGGAGGTGGGGGAACCCCAGCTCTAGAATCTGAGATTTCAGAGAGTCTGCGAGAACAGGGGTGGGTGCCACAGTCCATGGCCCTACCTGGCATCCAGGGAACGTGCCAGGATATGAAGACAGTTGACCACAGCCGGAGCGTCCGTCCCTGGGAGAGGAAGACAGACCGGAGGAAGCAACGGCTGTGAGGACAGTGTCCACCCCTGGCTAGGTCCGATGCCACCCCACACCCACCCCTGCCTGGGCTCCCACAGCCCACTGAGCTTCCCTCCTCCAAGCCCAGACCCCTCAGGGCGGTCTCTGTCTGGGGATGGGTCTGGCTCTCCCACCGGCCTGGGAGCTCCATGAGGACAGAGTCCAGACGTCTCAGTCACTGCCCTGTCCCCAGGACCACCCAGTCCAGAGGAAGAACACAATGAACGTTGTTCAAATTAAGACAGACCTGTGAAATATCTCTTCAGGGTGGGGTTGGCAATGAGGGGAAGAGAGAAGATTCGGAGAAAGGCTCAGGGAGCGGGGCCACTTACCAAAGAGAGAGACTCGGTGGCGGACAAGAGCAGCAAGTTTGCAGAAGAGGCTGAGGAAAGAGAAGGGGGCAGAGGACGGGGAACAGGGGGTGTGGAGGCCAAGGGGGTCAGGGCAGTGGTGCCCCAGTGAGTGGTAGGGACAGAGGCGACAGGGACAGAGGGGCAGAAGACAGAACCAGGAGGGATGGGGACAGGGCAGAGAGATGCGCGAGCAGGAAAGTCACAGGCAGTAACTGGGATGCTGGGGCGGAGGTGTCAGCCTTTCTGACCAGGTGACCAACTTGTCCCAGTTTGCCTAAGAGCCCGTAAGAGTCCTGGGAAACCCCTCAGTCCCAGGCAAAATAGGATGGTTGGGCACCCTAGCCCTTCAACACCTCTGCAGGTAGAGTGCCCAGAGCCCCTAAGGGCCAAGGCTGGGAGTAAGGGGTCCAGGGGGCTGGGTCAGAGGTCACAGGTGGCCCACCTGGTGATCATTTCCTTCTCCTTGTTGGAGGCGTGGCCGCCACTGCCCAGCACTTTGGCCGGCGTGGACAGGAAATAGAGGCAGTGGTTGGTGAAGTACTGGTTGATCAAAGGAAGCAGGATCTGGAGATGGGGGGAGGAGAAGGGGGCAGGGTGAGGGGTCGGGAGAGCCCACCAGTCCCCAGCCCCCTCCAGCTTCTGAGCCCACCTCTCACCTTGGCAAAGAATTTAATCTCCTGTTCATGTGGGGACTTTTCCACTCGTCCACTGCTGACCACAGCCTCTGTGGGGGAGGGCAAATGGGGGTCATGGTGGGTTCAAGGCTGGGGAACCCATGGTGTTCCGATGGGAGGGACTCTGGGGGAAGAGTTAGGAAATGATGGGAGTTAAATTCTTGGTATGAAGTCACCTCTGTTGACTTTGGGATAAACCTTCTCCCTTACCTTTCATCCAATTCCCCCTAACTCCTTGATCAAACCCTTCCTGAAGCTGACAATGGGGAGAACAAACTGAAATGGGTTAAGTCATGGAACATCCCCCTCCTCAACCATCACAAGCCCTTTTCTTTCTGAATTTCAATACTTGGTACTGAGTAAATCTGGGATAAATAATGAATGAACCAAAGGAAACAAGAAATCAATATAAACAGACTAGAGTTAATTTTAAAATAGAAATCGATTTCAGACAATAATAATGGTGATAGTAATAATACTATTAAAATAATGATATTGGCTTCAGTTATTCGATGCTTGCTGTCCCTGGCACTGTGAGAAATGTCATCCGTGCACGGCCACCTCCCAACTTGGAGGTCTATATAGTTGGTCCTCTTCCCCCATTCGGATGAGGAAACTCAGGTGAAATAACTCACCCCTGGTCACCCAGCAAGTGACAGAGCCATGGCTGGTTATGGTGAGCAGTACCCCCATATCACAGAAGAGGAAACTGAGGTTCTGAGGGGGAGGAAATTGCCAAGGGGGTGCGCAGCTCAGACCCAGCATGCGAACTTTGAGGGGAGATACGTGGGAGCGCATCCTGCTCCGCCACTCACCTGGAGGGAATTGGGGGCTCCTGGGGGTGGCTTTCAAGGGGAGTGCTGGGGGTCCCTGGGGGAAATTGGAGGGGATTGTAGGGGGCCCAGCTGTAATTTTTAGTGGTATATAAAAGGCATCCAGGGGGTCAGCCCAATAGCCTGCAGCTTCCAAATGGACCCAGAATCTGCCCAGTTCTCACCCTTCTCTGCTCCCGCCCCGCTCCAGTCAAGCCAGAGGGACCCTGTGAATACCTGAGTTGGATCACATCCCTCCCATCTCACTCCGGGTAAAAGACAGTCCTCACCATGGCCTGCCAAGCCCTGTGTGATCTGCCCCCGTCACCCCTCTGGCCCCATTCCCTCTCACTGTGGCCCTCCATCACTCTGCCTCAGCCACAGGGCATCTTAATGTTCATACCAGGGACCTCTCAGGGCCTTTGCACTTGCTATTCCTTTGCCTGTGGAAGGAACAGATGTCCCCCAGATGTCCGCATGGCTCCTCCCTCGCCTCCTTCATGTCTGGGCTCAGATGTCACATTCTTGCCCCATTTAAAATTACAGCCGGCTCCGCAATCCCAATGTCCCTTACTTGGCTCTACTGTTTTCTTCTTCCCATAACACTCACCACCTTCTAATATACTAAATGATTTAGTTATTCATTGGGTTAATTGTCTGAATCCACCACAGGAATGCAGTAGCAGGAGGGCAGGGATCTTTGTGACGGTCACTGCTGTATCCCCCGCATCTAGAAGCGTCTGGTGCATGGTAGAGCTCAATAAATATCAGATAAGGGGAGGAGGGAGAAATGCACGGACTGGCTTCCGCAGGTGAGGCGGGCATCAGGAGCAGGCAGGGAATGCTCCGTACCCAGGTGGGCAATGAACTCCTGGGAAATGTCCATCCAGCGCAGCAACTGCTGCAAGAAGCCAAAGGCGAACCGTTTCTCAATGGACGATGAGTCGAGCTCCATGTCCTTAAGGCCTCTACGTGGAGATGCAGAGAGGGGTCAGCCCAGGCACAAGCCCATCCTGTTTCCCACCCTTCTGGGTCCACCTGCGCTCCCGCAGGCCCAGCCCCTACCGGCTTCTGCCTCACCTCACGCTCCACTCTGAGCCCGCCCCTGGCCCTCAGGCCCCGCCCCTGCCCCTCAG